GTTTACTCTTCTCCTTGGACTTGTACCTGTCCCCACCACTTACTAGTGTGTGTCTTGAGGTCAGCCACTTACCCCTTCTCAATCTGTTTCCTCAGCTGCAAAATGAAGGAATCAAATACACATATTATTGTGTTCTGCCGATGATAAAATGAGAATATAGTGATAACATTTGTTGAATGTGTATTTGAGTAGTTGAGTATTTCACGTGTTCTCACTATTAATATATATTAACTTATAACCACCTGTAAAGTAGATCCCTTAATTCCCTTTTTTACAGATAAGGACACTGAGGTATGGAGTGGTTAAAGTAATTTTTTCAAGGTCACACAGCCAGAAAGTGGAGGAGCTGAGATGAGTTTGGCTTCATGCCTGTGCTCAAAACACTGCATACCAGGCCTTTTCATAGAGGGCATGTGGTGAATAATAGTGTTCGCTCCTCTTCTGAGCTTCCTCTGACAATTTCTGATCTGAAATGGGTATGGCATGGCAACAGCACCATGGTTCGCCTGATAGCCATTTACTAAATACTTATTGATAGATTAATTGATAAAACAGTGCTCAGGTTGTGTGCAGTTTTGCCTAGTAATGGATTTGTATCATATTGTGTTTATTGACACTTGACCTGCAGAAAACCCTCAGTGACTCTACGTGGCCCCTTAGCATTCAAGGCTGTTCAGTGATCTGGAGTGATCTGCCCTTTCCAACCTCATTACACCTCTGCTATTTATACAAACCTTGCTGGGGTTTAAGCTCAGTTAAGGATGGGACTTATTTGGTCATCTTTTTCTTTGTATGTCTACTCCATGGGGGAACCTGAATAATATTGACGGAATGAATGACTGAATGTGTCTCAGCCATCATGAGCTGCCACATTGTTCCTATGTGCAAAAAAGCAGGTGCTAGCACTTCTTGGCTCTGATGGATCTTTGTCCAGCCCCATCCTCCATGATCCCATGTCCTAGTCCTGACCCCAGCTAGCCTTTACCAGGTGTTAAACTTTCCAACAGTTTTACCAGCATCATCCTATCTTTTGTGAAAATGATCCTGCCAGGCTGCCACTAATTGGGCTTAGGTTTTTGTTGTGTTTCTTATAATGATGATGAGTTTTCATAGATTTGTCCACACTTGCATTTCACTCACCTCATTACTGGATTTTGCCAATTTGCACACTAATGAAAGTAAACCCTATTTAAAGGGCATGCTAATATATGAGTGGAAGTTTAAAAAATACTACTGACTAGTCTAACTTTACATTGTAGGTGAAGGGTGGCCTTTTTAATGCTTAAGATGTGTTTTTCCTGTTACATAAACATGTTTTTCTTCTAATGTATGAAAGAGAAAGGAGCTAAGATTTATTTAGCACCTATGAGGCCTAACACTGCAGTAATAACTTCTGTTTGTTATTGCACTTGATCTTCAAAACAATCCTGGAAAGGAATATAGCATGATAAGAACCAGGCTTTGATGTCAGAAAGACCTAGGTGTGGCCCCCAACCCACCCACTGCATGATCTTGGGGAAGTCTCTTAATGATCTTGGCAGGTCAGGTCTAGTGACCCAGAAGAGGTCCTACAGGATGAGCCAAGAGGATCTCTGGCTGAGCTTAGGATGGAAATCAAATGCAAGCCAGCGGGAGGTGAAAGCAGAACTTGATGATGTAGAGAGAGCAGATACAGATGGAGGGTCCAGGAGACTCAGAAAGGAAAGGAGCATGAGTCTTGTCTTTGTTTCAGGTCTGGGGGTTTTGATTAAGGATAGGTGGTCCAGTAGTGTATGTACTGTCTCAAGAATCCAGGAACTGGTTAGACAAAGACAAAGACCCAGGTGTCATTCATGGGAACCAAGGGTCCTCGGTAAAAAGATGTCTAGTGCTGGTGGTCTGGAATATGCATATAGTTTAACACACCTAGTAAAAGCCAGTTGGTAAAAGCCAGGATGTCTCATCTGGTCCTTCCTTAGATGTTATCTCTTCTAGAGAAATCATTAACTCCTTGTCCCTTACAAGGAGGGCATGAGCTATATGCATTCTGAGGTGTGTGTAAAGCAGAGTAGGGGGTGCAGATGTTGGCAGAAATAGAAGCAGGAAAGGGAGAAGAAAGCAGATTTTTATGGAGTCCTTCAGTTTCCCTGTCTCAGGAATCTACCTAAACTTAAGTTTTCTTATCTATAAATAGATATAATGACATCCATTTGGTATTTGAGGTGATATTTTATTGCTTTCTTCCCTACACACAAACAATCGCCAAATGGGAACAAAAGTGTTGGTTTATTAATGGCTAGATAAGCAACCAAAGTTGCTTGGTTAAAACCAACCAAATGTAGGGCTTCTGCAGAGAGATGTACTGGCCCATGAGGCCAGGGCTCAGAAGGCTGAGTGAGGCTACTCATTTCCACTTTGCTGGAACTGGAGACAGTAGAGGACCTGGACCTTCTAATTGGTCACATAAATAAGTGGCTGGGCTCAAGAGCAAACATGGAGCTGAATCTCTCCCAAAGAGCCAGGCTCTTTCTAGGTCAGATTGCTGCCCGAGAGCAGATAGTTCAGTTGTGACCCCTGGGCATAATAACTGGCAGAGGAAGAGGGGCAGAAGGCATGCCAAGCCTGGGTAAAGACGTGAAGGCACAGTAACCCACCCAGCAGGGAACAGGGCAGAGGAAGCTGTTCTCTGTGGAACGGCTTTCAGGGAATGGGCACATATAGGAGCAAAAAGTAGCAAGGGCATCCTCAGGCCCAGCCTAACAATAACAGCAAAATCAGTGAGAACACAAACCAAACCCTTACTTCATAGGGCTTTAAATGGGATTGAGTAAATTATGTGTATAAAGTGCCCGGCATGAACACACTGGGCAAGCACCAATGACCACTATAACCTTTAAAGAGAAGCGGTTGTTCGTCAGGTAAGTAGTGTCATCAAGACCATTGCATAGATGGAATGGAATGCATAGAGGAATGGAAGGCTCAGAGACATGAATTCTGGTATGGTATAAAAACCAGTAACAACAACAAGAACATCACAAACAAGCAAAACATAATTTTACCTTGTTTTAGATTTGGGAACCCTTGGAAGCATTTTTTTTTTTTTTTTTTTTTTTTTTTTTTTTGTTAAGGGTCTGGACATGAAAGAAAATAATCAGAGAAAATATCCTGGAACTCCAAAAGTTACTTTAAGCTTTCATAGGAGGTGAGCTCGGAAGTGGACTTGAAGGATGGGGAACATGCTAATGAATATTTGCATCCAATGTCATTAGCCACAGGTGCCATTTGGAAACCATCACCACTTCTTACGTTTTCCACGTAGTATGACTTCATGCAGTGATCTCAAAATGTATCAACAACTGACATACATAAAAAGCTCAGAGATCAGAAGTTATACTTCAGATTGGACAAGGTCTTGCAGTGAAACAAGTTGACAAGAAAGTCCTTATCTCTTTATATTGACTATGATGAAACATGTCAGAGAAGTTTAACAAATTTGACTTTACTGGATATCAAGGTTTTTTGTTTAGGATGCCAGTAGTAAATATTCTGTATTTCTCTGCTTTCTATTAGCAGGGGGAAAAAAAGCTATTTAGTCTAGATTAACCTAATTAAGAGCATATTTGAGATTTAAATGTTTGCTCCACATTTTCTCCAAATTAAAGCTTATTTTATTCTTGAACACAGATTCAAATTTCTGATGTCATATTTTTCTTTGAAGAGTTATATCCATCTGGATTGTCTAGGTAATATCACAGTAATAACCTTAAATGTAGTGACGTCAAACAATAGGGTCATAATTCTCACTTGGTGCTACATGCATCATCACGGGCCACTTGGCTCCTCTTGATTCCCATTCATAGACCTAGGACAAGAGAATTTCCATCTTTGTGCTTCCATGATTTCAGAAGCAGGGAAAAATAAACATGGCAAATTAAGCATTGCCTTTTATTGCTTCTATACAAAAGGGAGACACATCACTTCTCACATGTCATTGTCCAATGAAAGTCACATATCCGTGATTAACTTCAAAGAGGTCAGAGCAGTCCACTTCTCCCATTTGACCAAAAGGCAGACTGCCAGAAAATACTTATAAAATCACTAATGACCGCTGTAAGAGGTGTCTTATTATTCCTATTTCATATCAAGGTCACGAAAGTAGTATGTGGAAGAGGGCAATTCTGAACCTAAGTTAGACTGAAGACTTATGTATCTTATATAATATTATGCTGTACTGTAAGAGTATGTAAAAATGAGAAAGTTGCCCTCTACCTTCATTTCAACCTACTAAAAGTAAGTGAGACTACCAAACACTATTTCTCTGAAGTAACAAAATAAATATATCTGCTTTTGTGAAGGAATGAAAAGTAAAGCTTCTCAAAGGAATGTGAGGGAGGGGAGGAGAAAGAAGATGCATGGATAGGGCATCCAAGAGATACTTAAATGAGTTGCCAAAAATATTGCTCTTTTGTCATATATAGGTCTCTGCTCCAGCATTATTTTAAAATATTGATAAGAAAAACTTTTTTGGGGGGAGGTGCCTGGGTGGCTTAGTCCATTAAACATCTGACTTTGGCCCAGGTCATGATCTCACAGTTTGTGGGTTCGAGCCCCGCGTCGGGCTCTGTGCTGTCGGTTCAGAGACTGGAGCCTGCTTCAGATTCTGTGTCTCCTTGTCTCTATGCCCCTCCCCCGCTCATGCTCTGTCTGTCTCTCAAAAAATGAATAAATGTTAAAAAAAGAAAAAAAAAAGAAAAACTTTTTTTTTTAATTTTTTTTTTTAACGTTTATTTATTTTTGAGACAGAGAGAGACAGAGCATGAACGGGGGAGGGTCAAAGAGAGGGAGACACAGAATCCGAAACAGGCTCCAGGCTCTGAGCTGTCAGCACAGAGCCCGACACGGGGCTCGAACTCACGGACCATGAGATCATGACCTGAGCCAAAGTCGGCCGCTTAACTGACTGAGCCACCCAGACGCCCCAAGAAAAACTTTTTATTTATTTATTTTTACCCCCTCTGTAGGAGAATATAAACATTGATGAAGCCTCCAGATGCCTGGTGAAACATATACTTGCAAACGAGTGTGACCTGATGGAGTCCATTGAGCCGGACGTCGTGAAGCCCCATCTCACATCACCCAAGATTGTCAGCTGCTCCAGCTGTGCCAAATCCTAGTAGGCTTCTTTGCTGGCATATGCTGGCAAGCCAAAGATCTATGCCTGTATATTTCCTATAAGAGAGAAAAATAGCAAATGTTCTTTTCATGTTTTTCCCAGCATCAGCACAGTGTTTACCAGCTTGTTAAATATTTAGTCTGTTACAAAATTCTGTCTTGTAGCCGACCACAGTTCTGGAGGGCCACAGTTCTGGAGGGCCAGCGTCTGCCCTGTTATTTTCTTCTTGGATTCGGCCACGGCCTCTAGTCTTAAAGAGAAAGGGGAGAAGAGCAGACTAGCTGTCAAGTTCAGCCCTGGCTTTCACTTTGCCCCTGGTGCCTTTGTCCAGATTTCAATACACTTTCTGCTGGGCTGACAGGCCTATTAAGTAGAAATGTTTTTTTCTCCAGAGATGACCTCCATTTCCAACAGCCCTGAGTTGTCTCTGATTTAGCCCTTCAGAGTCGAGTACACAGGCTTCCTGTGCTTTTCTTGCTTTTATTGTCCCTTGCCATGCCCTGAATGTTGGTTTAAGTGAAAACTGTACGAAAAGACTTGCCTCCATATGTGCCTTTCTGTTCACTTTCTCTGACTTAAGCCGTGGGGCTCTTCTGTTCATGTAATATATATTATATATATTTTCACAAGTGGAAAATAAAACATTACAAGATGCTGTTTCCCTATTTCTGAAAATGCTTTAAGTGTCTTAGTATTGTGATTTTTTTTTTTTTGACTGTGTAGCCATGGTTCTCAAGACCCATTTCTAAAATTTTTTTTCAAAACGCAATGAGAAAAATACACTTAAAGGAACTTCTGGGCACTATTATACTTAGATGAGTCTATCTATTGATCATTTCAGCATTTAGGCCAAGCAGTGTATCTACATTTTATTGGTTAAGCAGAGGAATATATTTTCATATGTTCTAATCAAGAATGTGGTCTAATAGCAGACCAATCAACATGCAAAGAAACAACTAAAATATGCATGATAATATTTTGCTTTACCCAATGGCTATGGTGCTGATATGCTGAAGATAGGTACTGCTTTTTTTTTTTTTTTCCATTTATTTACTTTTGAGAGACAGAGCAAGACAGAGCATAAGGGGGGAAGGGCAGAGAGAGGCGGGGACACAGAATCCAAAGCAGGCCCCAGACTCTGAGCTGTCAGCACAGAGCCCAACGCAGGGCTTGAACTCACGGACTGCGAGATCATGACCTGAGCAGAAGTCGGAGGCCTAAGCGACTGAGCCACCCCGGTGCCCCAGGTACTGCTTTTTAATAGCATTTAATGGCGTTCGTATTCATATTATACTCACGGGAGCTTTGTCTTTTGTAGCAGATATTTTTGGGTGTCCTACCCATATTATCTTGGCATTCACTGTTTCTGTAAGTACCAACCACTCAGCTTCTTATTGTTTGTGACCTATTCCCCGAGGGCATTCTCTGGCCTTTGGAGCACTTGACATGTGAGGTAGACAGATGAGAAGTTCCAGGAGTTCATGTCTACAGGAGTAGCTCTCAACCAAGGATAGCAGGAAGTGGGAGATGAGTATCCTGGGTTCCTTGTCCCTCAGGAACCACATTCTTTTTGTTGTTGTTGTTGTTGTTGTTGTTTTATTTTTTTTAAATATTTATTTATTTTTGAGAGACAGAGCATGAGCAGGGGAGGGGCAGAGAGAGAGGGAGACAGAATCCAATGCAGGCTCTAGGCTCCGAGCTGTCAACATAGAGCCCCACGTGGGCTCAAACCCATGACCTGAGCCAAAGCTGGACACTCAACTGACTCATCCTGAGGCATACTTTATACAGTCTCACAGGGGTCCAAGTGGGATTAAGCCCTGGCTCTCACAGGGGAAACCTGCCATCTGACTCATCCTGTATGGGCTTCCTTTCCTTTTTTCCTCACTTCCTCCCTCCTCTACTGGTCATTTCTGGGTTCACTTCCTAAATAAACTACTTTCACTGAAATCCTTGTTTCAGGGTCTTATGGGGAAACCCAAACCCAGTCTACATTAGTTGGGACATAGGTGGCCTAAGAGGCAGATTCTCAACAGCAGCTTCTTGAACTGAATCATTCATCACCCAGCTGGTAGCAAGGACCCCCTTGCTGGTAGACAATGTGGTAGAGCTAATCCCTAGCAAGCTGTAGCACCATAATTACTAAAATTCTCATCACGTGGTTTGGGATAGAATCTAGATGGAAGGAAAGTCTATTGCTCTTGGGTTTCAGAGACATGAGATTATGGAGTTAACTTCCAGAAACTCTGTAGGAGAAAACATTATAGAGTTGATTCAGCTAACACTCAACTCAGGATTTGGTGCATAATCTTGAAGACCTCCAAACAGCAATCAAAATAATCCTCATTTCCCTTAGCTACAGGATAGACAGGATGGACGCTGAAAATCAGGCCTAAGACTTTAGGAGAAGCAGACTTTTATTTTTATTTATTTTTAATGCTTATTTATTTATTTTGAGAGAGAGAGAGCACACCCACAAAAAGAGTGGGGTGGAGAGATAGAGAATCCCAAGCAGGCTCTGAGCTGACAGCACAGAGCCTGATATGGGGCTCAAACTCACAAACTGTGAGATCATGACCAGAGCCGAAATCAAGTCAGACGCATAACCAGCTGAGCCACCCAGGCTCCCTGAGAAGCAGACTTTTCAAAGAGGCTGACCCCACAGAGCTAGCAAATTTCCTCCACTAAAATCAGAATTTTTGTAGGAAAGAAATCATACACTGAAATATAGAAGGAGATAATTTGGGTGGATGCTCTTAAGAATCTTGAACCCATGGGGCGCCTGGGTGGCGCAGTCGGTTAAGCGTCCGACTTCAGCCAGGTTACGATCTCGCGGTCCGTGAGTTCGAGCCCCGCATTGGGCTCTGGGCTGATGGCTCAGAGCCTGGAACCTGTTTCCGATTCTGTGTCTCCCTCTCTCTCTGCCCCTCCCCTGTTCATGCTCTGTCTCTCTCTGTCCCAAAAATAAATAAACGTTGAAAAAAAAAATTAAAAAAAAAAAAAAAAGAATCTTGAACGCAAAGATTGTTCTGAAACTGTGGCCCAGAAAAAAAGACCTTTACCCTTTCCTGGGGGGAGAATAGCCACTTGTCACATAAAAGCTCCACCTGAGTAGGATGTTTTAGAAGGTGATGCTTTTCCTTCTCAAGTTCTGCTCTCATCTTCCCTCATTGCTTCCAGACAAATAACTAGAATCAAGTCTCAGTGTGAACAGTCTGAGAGAAGAAAACTGTGCTCTATGTTGCAGGGTGAAAAGGATTATTAATCAAATGAACTATAAAGCCTGACTAATAAGTATGGGTAGGAATCTGGAGAACGTTCTTGAATTGGTCTTAAGATGCTGCATCAGGGAGGACAGAATGTAGCACCAGATGATGGATAATCTATTTCTATGAGAGCACTCTTTAATGAGTTAATTTTTAACATTCTGGCAAGGAAACCTGGAGCTGATCCCAATGTGCTACTAGAATAGCTCTTTGAAGCTTGGAAACAATGCTGGCCTAAAATAAATGATGTGGAGATACCAGAACTACCTTGGCAAAGTATTAGAGAAGAGCTCGAAGGTCTCAAAGAGGTGGGCATATTATAGTGTATTTATTTTGTAATATCAGAGAAACTACCAGCTGATTATGTTCCTCAGGAGAGCCCAGAAGACACTCCCTTCACTAAAACAATAAGGAGTGTCCCCCAAACAGGGATACCAGCATCAGTGAGAAGCTCACTGTTGGTTGTTCTCTGTGCCAGATTTGAGACTGTAAGTATGTTGCTGTGTTCACTGGGAATGATACCAACATGGTTAAGGTTCAATATGTGGTATTAGCATATTTAGTGCTGGGTCCTGGATCTTGAGCATCAAAAGGTGGAAGTGGAAGTAAAGCCTCCTACTATCTCTTTAAAAAATCAACTTAAGAAAGTGAGCTTCCCCTTTGTACAACTTCAGGCTCTGCAAAGTTAGAGGTCTTGATCATTCTACCAGGGGACATAGTAAAGATTCTGCCAAATCTACAGCTTCTTCAGCTGCTGCCTGATGTTTTTGGCTCCTCATGCCTACGGGCCTGTTGTTAGAGAAGGTTGTTACTGTACAGGCAGGGGAAGGTCATCCTTATTACCAAGAGGAGAGGGTTGCTGCTAAATAATGAAACAGGGAAGAGTATGTCTGGAAATCCTGGGGCTCATTGGAGTGCCTCTTGATGCTTCCATGCCTAGTGAGAACTAAAAGGGCAATTGCGGTGATAACATCTGGAAGAGTACAAGTAACCAGGGACTCACGCTCTCAGAAACAAAGCTCTGCATGCACCACATCATGACCCTCAGCTAGGAGCAGGTTGGTCAAGGGACAGAAGTGGTAGAGGAGGGAAATGCTGCATGTCAATGATGGTCTCAAAATTAACTACAGCAGTGGAGATGGGAGCGTATCCCACCAACCCTTTATTGTGAGTTCTCTAGTGCTCTCCCTCTGTCTTTGGGAATTATGACCAATGACTTCCTTAAAAACATCAGTGAAAGGACAGACTGAACTTAACATTAGCATAAGTGAATCTGAGAAATGCAAGGCATGGGCTACAATAGTCAACAGCGGAGGAAATACCTGTGTCCGCCCAGCACATGGCTTCCAATTGCAGTCCTCTGAAACTCTGCCTAAAAGCATTCCCCAGGTGCATGGGGTGTATTTGTTTTGCATGCTGGACAGGCCAGAGTGTTACAGAGTTAGTTATCACCTCTAGGAGCAGTCTCATCTGAGACTGACAAACAGGCAGATAAGTACTTCAGTATCGTCCCCGGCTCAGGTGGGATAAATCTGAGGCTAACTCTATGAACCCTCAGAGGTCCCTGCTGGGATTGAGGCAGAATTTCACACAGTAGTGACCTGCTCATTACCACAACTGTTTTGGTTTCCCTTCCTTGCCTGTCCTGGTTCTCTACTCCTCTGCCAGTGCTTCCAAGGATCATCTCCCAGTGAGGAGATTTCCATTTTTGATTGACCTTCAAATGCTAATAATTCCTTTTTTAATGTTTATTTATTTATTTTGAGGGGAGGAGGGGTAGATTGGGAGGGAGAGAGAATCCCATGCAGGCTCCTCACTGTCAGCCCAGATCCTGACATGGGCTTCGAACTCACTAACTGTCAGATCATGACCTGAGCCGAAATCAAGAGTCGGAGGCTTAACCAATTGTGTCCCCTAGGCTCCCCCAACTGCTAATAGTTCTTAAAACATCAGAGCACCCAGGCAATAATTTTCATTACCATGGAATCTCTAATTCACTGTTTTTCTTTCTAAATATCCTCTGAAATGTGGTGTTTAAAATAAGCATGGTAAGATTCAAACTGTCTTCTAACCCTCACCCAGCATAGAAAATTGTTATTTACAGCCATCAAAATGAGTATTCATTGATTTATTGATTCCTTAACTCCCTCAACAAATATTTATTGAACAATTGGTATATTCCCAGCACTTGGCTAGGCACTTTTCCGAAGACACAAATGACTAAGTCATGGTCTCAGATCTTAAGGTGTTATGATCAGGTAGGAAACTCAAATATGTAAGTAATCTACAATGTATCAAGAGAGAAGTCAAATGTCCAAACTGAGATATTTCTTCCGAAAACATAAGTTGTTTTTAAATGCAGGGACTTCAGCTCCAATTGTGTTTAAGGAAATAGAATA